ATATAATTTTAAATATTTAAAGTATATTTTTTGCAGTCAAATGATCCCAATGTCACTGCATTTCAAACTATCTTTGTTGAAACGTCCCGCTGTTCAGTTAAGTCGTTATAACAAAGGACAGTAAATAATCTTTAGTTAAATGTAAAAAAGTTGGTCAATGTCGACGGTGAGGGAGGGGAGAGAAGAAACGTGGAGATTCTGTAACTCACTGTAGCAATCAATTGAAACCCCACCGCCATCGGACCAACTGGTTAGGAGGCTGCTCGGCACTGGTTCTTATGGCATCGAGTGGTGACGGCGTCCTAAGTCATGGTGTTGCTGTCCAGGTCGACTTTGTACGAGGGCCGGTGTTTGGTTAAAACATTTTCAAACAATATTTCTACGACAGTTCTCGACATCTGTTGCTGTTCAGAAACCAGAATTTGTCAAATCTAACATGTATCGCACGCGAAGCATGCTGGGAAAAATGTCACGAGGGAGGGAGGCGTTCCGTTTGAACAAAGCGTTTTCACTCATGAAATGGTGGCGTTTAGACTTTAGAGCAATTTTGAACGGATATATTCTGGTATAAATTTAGTTTGAAATACGGTGCGTTTGTACCACGCTAGCTGTACGTTTTTGTTTCATAGATGGCTATTTTTTACACGTAGATGTCACGTAAGCAGCTACTGCTCATTTCCGCGATGCGTCAACGCGGCCGCCATGATGGGACGGGAACACTGCGCCTTCTAAGGCATGTTTGTGTTTGAAGGCAGGAAGACTGTTCACAGTTAAACATCAGATTTACGTTACAGGCCATAAAACACGTCAGTTCCTTGCTTTGTTCCTTCAGTAACACATTTGGGCACGTTTTACAGTTTTATTGTTACCCAAAAAATCTTGCTGTGTTGAACTCACTCTGTTAATGGTGTTTAAGACTGGGGATGGGAATTATTAAAACTGCATATATGACAGTTTTGTAAAACAAAAAGCCATTTTTTTGTTTTTATTTTGAGGCATATGGACTTCAGTTAATCTGACAAATATTCAGAAGCCTTCAGTTCAGTTCAGCCTTCCAACACTACAGTCCTCTTGTTGTTTTATAGTGGAGCATAATAATGTAGATCATTGTTATCGACATTTAATGGACAAACTTATTCTCATTCCTTGAGCCTTACGAAGCCAGACTTTGTAGGTGTCATTTTTGCCTTTGGATCCTGTGTGAACCGATTCCCATCCCCACGACCATGTGTCCTTGTTGTCTACAGTGTTCCCATCAAGTAAAGCATCGTGTTCCCACAGTCGGTTTGATTTTTGTGTCTCTCTTCTTCTGTGTTGTGTTCCTTTTCTCCTGAATGTTTTTGGCTAATTGTTTGTCTGGTTGCACTGCCTCCTTTTCTCCTGTTCTCACTTTACCTTCCTCCTCTTCCTCCCTTATCATCACTGTCCCCTGTGCTCTTTGCTGTTGTTCCTCCTTCATATTTTGTCATTGTCTTTCCTGTTCCTCATCTTCCTCTCCCCTCCTGGTGGTTATGGGTGAACAGCTGGCGCTGCTGCAGTACCGCCTCAGTATGTCCAGCATGCCGTGCCAACCTAACGCCCCACCAGGCTCTGGGACTCTCCACACCTACCAAGTACTTTTACCTTTTCTTTCACCCCTGCCCCTCTGGGGCCTCCTGGAGGTAAACCTCAGTCCATTAAGGTCACGGTCAAGGGTACTTCTCTCGTACAGGCGAACGCAGTGATCCGCTGTCCGTCCAGTCACCAGCCTGATGCCGGCAGATGTTTGCTGCGGCTGATTAGTCTGCATGGCTAATCCTGCTTTGTTGCATAACCACTTATAACCTGAATGGTTTTAGCTTTTTCTGAAAGCTGGTTGGCTTGTAAAAAGATGCATGTGATTGGTGAATTGTGATGTACAGTTTATTGTCACCCAATACTCTAATGATAAAGCAGCTTTATTAAATGACAGTAGTTCCTTGTTGATTTGTTCTCTGAGGCGTCATTTCTATTTAAAGACTGAAATGTTTCTTAAGTTAATGACTTTCCTCAGAGTGTTGAAACCAATCAGCAGCATCTGGTCCTTAGAAACCAGAGACTAAGGTATCATCTCTGGCCTTTCTGACTATAAACTGAGTTTCTCCAGAGAAGTATCCTTGATCCTGGAATGACTCTTTTGGAGTTAGAATCTCTGAGCTGATGTTTAGTGGTTTAGATGTGTGTCTCATTGCTTTGTGTTTTTAAGGCATGCTTTTTACACTGTGTCTGGTGCACGTTGTCATCTTACCTGTAGTTGATAAATGTTTTTTTTCTATGTAAAGCAAAAGATATGCTACATTTCAAACCTTTTTTATTTCACCTGCCAGTCATAAAATCATTATCATAAATCAATATAAGCATAGTGCAGTACTCTGCAGAGGCCATGTTTGTTCTTGCTGCCGTTATCCAGAAGCAGCACTGCACAGTTTTAACAAAGCAGCTTTGCTCTAATCATGTAACAGAGCACTGAGGTCGCACCTTTCATTCTGTCACTGTCATTATTAAAATGTTAATGGAGTTGTCTGTTTTAAGAAACCCCAGTGGTGATGAAGTACTAGTTTCCGTGTTTGAAAAGCTTTATATCAAATTAAATACAACGTGATAAGTTTTATGAAATGATTAAATTTGTCCTTACTGTCTCAGTCAAAACTAGTTTTAAAATCTCCACTGAGAAAAACATAATTTTTATTTTAGGGCTAAATTTTAATTAAGTTTTTCTCAGGACTACACAGGCGAGTGTCACTGCCACAGTGCAGACTGGAATAGACGCAGAATGCTCCGGTAAAACAACCAGATCTGGTGCTAAATGTCAGCAGCAGTTCAGGTGCCACTGTTTTTGCAGTTGGGACCAAAAGGAGGCAACGCAGGCTGATCAGACAGGAGCAGTAGTACACAAAGAAGACAAAAACCATCACTCACGGGGGGGAAATCATTGTGGGACCTCTGTACTCTGTGACATGGAAAGTACTCTGAGCTTCTTTTGGCTGCCTGGGGCCTGGGATGCACTCTGATTGGCCGCTTTTGAAATTGGGAGCTGATTGAAATCATGGGGCGTCGTGTTTTTGTGGAGCATCTTGTGACCGGTTGCCTTTTCAGGAGCCCTTCACCCCAACAGAGGAGCACGTGCTGGTGGTGCGTCTCCTGGTGAAACATCTGCATGCCTTCTCCAACAGCCTGAAGCCCGAGCAGCTGTCCTCATCACCCTCCGCCCACTCGCACACTCACACCAGCCCGCTGGAGGAGTTCAAGAGGTCAGCTTCATCACACATGCTACTGTCAGACTCTGAAGTGCTACAACTCTCCCTGAATGTTTGTTCACCAGTTTGAATAAATGTTTTCTTAAAGCAGTAGTTCAAGATTTTTCAAGTTGGCATTAAAACAATATAGATGCATCTGTGTATATGTGAGAATAGGTCTTAGTTGTCACTTCTTCTCTCTGCACTGACTGAATGTTTCAAACAGGATCGTTGGTACGCTGCACAACATGAAGAACAAAATAAGTAACTCTCACTCTGTCAAACATGTTAAAAACTCCTCAGGTGAACTTTGGGTTCATGTTTTTACAGAGTGAGTTGTGTAGTTTGTCCCTCATTTGTTTTGCAGCGTAGTGACGCTCCTGTTGGAAACACTAAGGGTCAGTGCGGAGAAAAGACGTGACAATGACCAAGACCTGTTCTCACATACACAGGACATATCTGTCTTGTTTTAACACCAAACTATTCTTTCATTGTTTGTCTACAAAGACAGAACAGCTTTGGGTTAGTTTCCCCAAAATCAAACACATTATTCAAGTACCGTAGTGGACCTGACCGTGTTTTCATTTCTGTACAAAGTTCTTATAAGGGACATGAACTCACCCACAAAGGACGTCGCTACAGCTCTGATATTTAAATCAGGCTGACCAGTGTTTCACAATGAATGGTTCACTTTAAACGAGCTGACAGACCAAGCTGTGTTCCTGTTTTCTAATTTCACTCCATTTCCTGCATTTACTTTGTTCCTGGTGTCCCTCCTGCCCACAGGGTGGTGGTGCAGCGCTTTGTGCCGCAGAAACTGTACCTGTTTCTCCAGCACTGCTTCGGTCACTGGCCTCTAGACGCCTCATTCAGAGCGGTACGTCTCACTCCCCCAAACTAAGTGTCTTGTTTTAATTTACAATATTTCACCGTTGCCAGGTACAGCAGTCTTCTGATGTTAGCAGTTAGAGATGTGGTTTGGTTCCTTGTTCACTGGCACCTGGACACTGTCCACATCAGTCCTTTTTTCACTAAAGCCAGTCAGTCACAGCCTGTGGTCATGAGCGAGTTCAGGACAGTAAAGCTGTAGAAACACCTCGGTTCAGC